TGTGATCACGAGGTGTTGACGGGATCAGGTATCAGGTATCAAAAGATCCAAAAAATGATGTCAGTATGACAAATAAGGGGGGTTGGAGCGGAGACCCAAAGCCCATCTGTAGACAATTGGATATCCCTCCACAGATGGGTTATAAGGAAGGGATGATTCGACTAAGGTGCAGTATAGCACCTAAGAAACACATCATTCCTCTAGTTCCTGGATGCCCCCCGCCCCTGCCCCGCACACTACCATGACCCAATTCTACCTTACAAACCTGGCTAGACTGGAAAACACACATTGGTACAGATAACAGCTGTGGACACATGGAATTCAGGACAGATAAGCCCCTCAGGAACAGCAGTGGGAGTAGCGGTATCAAGAGGGGAGGGGGATGGTCGGGGAGGGGGAGGGAGAGAAAGGGGGAGCCCATCACAAGGTTGGCTATATAGCCCATCCCCCAAAGGGGGCTAATAACAAAAATGTGGGCGAAGGGAGACAACAGACAGTGTTAGATACGAAATAATAATAATTGGTCAAGTATTCACAAGGGTGGGAGAGGGGGAGGGAGGGGAATAAAGAGGAGCTGTTACCAAGGGCTCAAGTAGAAAGAACATGTTTTGGAAATGATGATGGCAACCTATGTACAAATATGTTTGATACAATTGATGTATATAGGAGCTGTAAGTGCCCCCAATGTTATAAGAGCTGTAAAATGATTGAAAAGAATGGCTATATAAATATCGTTAGGTGCCATTGAGCCGGTTACAACCCGTCACGCCCCCACGTGCCACAGACCAAAGCACAGCCCCCTCCTGCATCCTCCTCACCACAGCGGTCGTCTGGGGGAGCCCAGCACTGCACCCACTGCGCCCATCCATCTCTGTGAAGGCCCTCCTCGTTCTCGCTGCCCTTCCATTTTACGGAGCCTGGTGTCCTCCTCCAGGGACTGGTCTCTCCTGACGTGTCTAAAGTCTGAGGGTAGAGCAGGTACTCACTGCTCAGCTGGTCACCGAGTGGTCTTCCCAGACAGCGCCATCCGGGCCTCTGAGCCCGACGGGTGTGCACCCACAGACCGGGCTTCTCATGGGAAGGCTCCCACAGCCTGTCCCCTCCCAGGCCTGGCGGTGCTGCTGCTACCTGCTGTTAGGGGGTCCTGACTCCAGGCAGCCCTGCATGTTACAGAGCAGAACTTCTCCCCGCCCCCTGCCCCCCAAGCTCTCCTTGGGTGCAATCTTTATAGTAGCTGTCGTCAAGGGGGGAGCAAGCAGGCTTTGCTTTTGAATCCTAACTCCTCTGACGACCAGTAAGTTGGTTACATCGCTGAGTGTCCATTTCCCCCACCTGCAAAGCGGGGCTTGTAGCTGGCTCCGGAGGTGACTACCTGAGACGGTGAAAGGCCGAGGACCTGGGCACACTGGGTCTCAAGAAACACGAGCTCCTAGGCTTTTGGGGTTTATTTCCGGGTGGCCCGAGTTGATTTTTCCTTTCCCAGTCCCAGAGGTCTCCTTTGAACAAGGTGTCGCGCACTGCCTGCAGTCGATTCTGGCTCAGAGTAACTGCAGGGCATCTCCAAACTGCTCGGTCGGTTTCTGAGGCTGTAACTCAGACAGCCTCGTCTTTTTCCCGGGGAACTCCTGGTGCTATTGAACCACAGACCTTTGGGTTAGCAGCCCAGTGATCAAGAACCAGGTGGAGGGTCGCCTGCCTTTCAGGAGCCACGTGGCTGTACGTTTGAAAACAGTCCAGTTCAATGGATGGGGTTCTAGTAGGCAGATCCTGGACTCCAGGCCCTCCCGACATGCCTCTGACCAGGCCTGGCCAGTAGGCAGTAGAGTACCCAGCCCCCGCCACATGTATGAGTTCATCTGTCAGCTCTCCTGGGGGAGTTTTGCTGAAGCAATTTGAGATTGTTCCATCTTTCTCTGGAACCAACACCCATGAGGGACATTGCCAGCTGGCACCTTGTGGACAGAGCGAGCCTTAGAGGGACATGACGTGTCCTCAGGTGGGCAGACCTGGGGGTGGGGGGAGGACGAGTCCCGGTGCCCTGTTGGAATCACTGGGTTGCTTGCTCGCTCACTGCTTGCGACCTCGAGCCAGGGCCTTCCTTCCTTAATTAAACCAGTGTGCGTGCGCTTCTGGGTCTACCCCCACGACAGTCGCCACAGAACTGCCATCGCCAAATCAGAGACTCGCTCTTAAGTGTCATGTGGAATTCCCGGCGACCCTCTGGTCAGCAGAAAAAAGAGCATGGGCAGAGTAGACGAGGGATCAAACCCTGGCTTTGTTATTTATTATTCTGGGGCAAGTCAGTTAAATTACCTGAGCCCACTTTTCTATGGTATGGGGGTCACATTTTGTGTCTATGCTTGTTTTATGGGTTTGGGATAATGGGTATATGGATAAACCACATAGTTGGCCCTCAATAAGCATCCTACTACTATTAGGTAGGGTAGCAGGGGCATAGAAGAGATGTCAAGAATCTTTTCCTCTGTATGGTAGCCTGCAGATACTGAACCAATTCATATTTCTCATATTTTGTATGTTACACCACTTAGTGACCAGGACTCCGTGCTGATTGGGGCTTGGACCAAGCAGAGAACTGAAGAGGCTTTGGGGAAAAGCTGGAAGAAGAGAGGGGGTGGACAGGAGTTGAAAAGCTGGAGAGATGGAATTAGGCTTGTTTAAAACATATGAGCACAGAACTTTACACCCACTTTCTATTTATAAATATCCCAGTCTCTCAGGCTGGCTCCTTCTGCACCAGGCCTCGATGGAAGAGAACAGGTGCAGAGAGACGCTGCTGGGAAGGTACCAGGGGGGAGCTGCAGGCTGTGGGAGGGGAGCCGGGACTGGCGGCTTGGCCTCGGGGTGTCAGGACTCAAGGATCCCAGAGGCCATGAGTCACAAAGGAGCTCCTGCTGGAGAGAAGTTTCTCATATTTTGCCAGAGACTTGTGTACAGAAGACCAGGCTGCCCTCTGTGCCCTGGTCCAGAGTTATCTGCCCTGCATGGGGGTGGGCGTGGGGGTGGGGTGGTGGCAGGAAGACAAGATAGGAAGCTATTGGCACAGCTGAGCAGAAATGACAACCAAAGTGGAGGAGGTGGAGGGGGCCAACTCCAGAGGCTTTTCTGAGGAGCAGAGCAGTGATGTCTTGGAAGTAGAGAGGACGCTGTCAGCTCCAAGGTTTTTAGCTGGGGACATAAGGGGGCCATGACATGATGCCAAGCACCACGGAGGGCTTGGAGGGTTGAGGATCCTGAGTGGACATCCGTTCCTTCAACAAATGATTTGGTATCTACCGTGCCAGTCACTTCTAGGGGCGCCCTGGAGATGGCAGAAGAAAGGCACAGGAGGGCTCAAGAGGCATGTGCTTTCAGTTGTGCCGGTCTTTCCCACCTCGACCATCTGGCCCATGTCATTGTCTGTACTTCCAAAGGATGCCTTCCCCTTCCAACGAGTCCAGTGCCAACATTAGCCACTGCGTACCCAATGCTGATGAGGTGCCAGGGGCTGTCCTAAATGTCAGACTCCAGTAAGGGCAGCACGCCCCTCCATTTACAGATGAAGTCTTTGAGGTGTCAGCACGGTGTGTTCCCAAAGTGGACAATACTGCTCCCTCCGGGCACTGGAATGATCCAGGGGGGCTGCAAGAGCAGATACCCAAACTTTATCCTGGGTTATAATAGAAAAATGCTGTTGCAGGGGTTGGGGAGAGTTGGGGTAGGTGGGGGAGGACAGAGTAAAAAAATGTTTTTTTCCTGAAAATGGGGTAGTAGGCCCAATGAGTTTGGGAACGTCTATTTAAGATGTCAAGGGACTTGCCCAAGGTCGCATGCCGGTGGTGACAGCGCTGGGAATGGAATGCCACAGCTTGTTCTATTCATCCTCCCATTCTTCCCAAACCAGCTCAAAGACCACTACTTGGCGCAACTTTCTGAGCTCCCCCAACTGAAGCAAGCTTTCCTGCTGGTGGGTCCCTGGCTGCTGTTTCCCCTTGGTGGCATTTACCGCCTTGCTCAACAGAAACCACAGAGGTGCCCTCTACTCACGGCCTGGGCGCGGCAGTTTTCCTTACATATGGCTTTAATCCTCCCGACATTCGTGTGTGTGTGTGTGTGTGTGTGTGTGTGTGTGTGTGTGTGTGTGTGTGTGTTTGAGCACCATGAAGGGTGGTGGCCCTGCGCCAGGTTTCCATTTCCGCTGGTCCTTCTTGTTCCCAAAGGACGGTCTCACCCCTCATCCGTATTTTCAGAGCCAGGAAGGCTGGGCTCAGACAGGATCAAGAAGCAGAAGGTGCAGTTGTGGCTCTTGTCCTTATCTAACCCCTGGCTCCTCCGGCTACCCTGCTTGGAGATGAACTGCAAGCCCAAATGGATTTTCCACAGCCATGCTGAGTTCCCAGAAAAGTGCCCATTCTTTCGGCTGCCTTAGTGAGGCAGAGGCTGGTGCTAGAAGTTTCTCTTGCTTCCTGTGCCATCTTGGAGGCCGAGAGAGGGCAGCGTGAGTTTAATCCTCTCTCAGGACGCAGTGAACACCTCAGCGCCACACTTGCTCCCCTCCCTCCCTTTCCCCTGGTCTCTTTCTCCTGAAAGCGCTGTGCTCTCGCCAGCCTCTGGCCGGTTGTAAGTACCCAGCTGAATCTGTTAAAAAGCAATTTTCCTTCAGGGTTCTACGAAATTGATTCCAGAACAGTTGGAACTTTAGTGCAAAATCTGCCTAATTTGTCCCAGACATGAGATCTGGGGCCCAGATGTACAGAGAATCCCACTTGTGAGACCAAGTCGAAATGGGCTCTGCCATTTTCTCAGGAGCCTAGGTCCTCCAGACGATGACAGATTAGAAGTGTGTCCTGGGGGAAAATAGGCCAGCCCCCACAGCTAATCACGAGTTCAGTAAGCGTTAACTGTACAGTTAAGATACAGAGATTATAATAAAGTCATAGAGAGCATGAGATATAGGAGAGTCAAATAAAGAAGTCAGACACATTTCATGGTAGCATGCTCACCTCCTGGATGGCCATGATCTTAAGGTCCACACAGAGTGAGCTGAGGTGCGATGGGGGCAGGGACCGCTGGCCAGCTGGAGCTGGTTTATTGCTAACCAAGGCTTATAACTACTTGGGAAGGGGGCGATTACAGGAAACCACACATCACAGGAAGGGGATGCACAATAGGCATAAGCGTGACAGGATGGGGATGAGCTAGGGTGTGCCCATAGGAAGCGGGAGGGGGGGGACTAGAGGTATACATGTGACAAGATGGGCGGGCCCTAGATTCATGAAGGAGGCCTAACCTTGGTCACCCTTGGGTGGGCTTGACCTCTCAGGGGTCTCCTACAAGGAAACAGACAACTACTATCCTTGCCCGAAGGGAGTGGGCCCTACTTGTTGTGGGATAAACAGTGGTGACTGCTTGCTCTAGATGGCTGATAACCCTTAGGGAGGATAACCCCTGACCTACTTCTGTTGACCTCCAAGTATCTAGTGATTGGCCACATGTAGCAAGCAGCTTAGTTTGGCATATATCTGGGGGAGACAACTTGGGAGAAATCCTTCTGTTTCCCACAGTGTGTGTGTGTGGGAGTGGGTGGTGAGACTGTCGGCGTCCGGAGGCCCAGTCCCTGGAGAAGGACATCGTGTTTGGGAAAGCAGATTAGCACAAAAAGTGAAGGCCCTCAACGAGGTGGCTTCAACCATGGGCTCAAACATAACCACTGTGAGGGCGGCACAAGATGGGGCAGTATCGCTTTATTGTACATGGGTCACTGTGCGCCTGGACTGACTGACTCTCTTGTACCGTGTACCATCATCCTGTGGGAGAGACTTCTCATCCAGCTCCCAGGGCCACACATGTATGGGAAACTCATGGAAAGTAAACTCCTACAGTTGCTTTATAAAAAACCAACCCCCAATCCTCGTTTGGGTGCACGCCACGCTCCCCGCCCATCCCCTCCGCTCCCCCCACCGACCTGAGACAGTCTGCAGAGCAGCTACTGCTCAGTTGGCCAAAGAACTTTCATTTAGAACTTCCCTTCACACTAAAAGTCAAAGCAGAAAGTGCCACCTGTTCACATTGGAGACGATGAGGGATTAAGAGAGTGTGGGTTATCGGTAATGGCTTTACACCCAAAGGTCTCTGAAAAGGAAACAAACATTTCGTCAATCTGCTTATATTAAAACAAGAAAAATAAACAGTGCCAAGGGCAGAACCCACCCAATCCGCAGGGACGGTCTCCCGGCACGCGTTCAAATAGCCGGCCTCCTGAAGACTGGCCACAAGCGGTGTCCTCCAGCTGTACTGGACCAGCGGAACTTCTAGAAAGAAATCCTGTGTTGTAACTGCTTTTCACTGTACAAACCAGCTTAATGGCCTACTATCGGCGTGGCGTCCATTTCTGTTTCCAGTTGCATTACCTTCTACCTGTCATACACGGACTCGAGGCAGAGGTGTTTGGGGTACGTTTCATTTCTGCAGCAGCAAGAATGGGCTCTCCTCCGAAGGTGGCCGGTCCCTGGCTCACAGCTGCACTGGAAATGGGCGCTCTCCCCTCCGACCAACTACTGATCCTTTTGGTGTATTGGCCACTTGTTGCGTGGCAACTCACAACCTTCACGTAGCAGTAAACAATGTTTTGTATCCGATAAAGCCAAGTTTTGAATCCAGCTGACACTACTGTCTGATTTTGGTGTTATTAATGGAAGATTCACTTGGTTTCCTGAACGGGGAGCCCTATCCTACCAGAGATGGAGTAGAACGGACAGGCTGGGGCCAGCAGTCCATGCCCCGCTGTCTGTGCCTCACACCGGCCGCAGTGCCATGGCACCAGCTCCAGCGCCTCCAAGAGCAGCCAGATGGAACCCTGCCCGGTCTCCGGCCATCCTCACAATCCTTATTTGAGCACCTTGTTGAAGCCCCTGTGCCAATCCATCTCATTTAGGGTCTTTCTTTTTCTCCAACCTTCCATTTCACCAAGCTTGACGTTCTTCTCCCAGGAGTATGACTGGGGCAGCTCGTGAAGGCTGAGGGTTCAGGGGACCTATTGTTAAGGGCTGAATATTCACTCCACTCCCCCCACCGGTTTCCAACATGGAGGGGGTGGGGTGCTGACCCCGCTGTGTGTGCTCTGGGCCTGAACAAGGTTTCCAGTGTGTCCAGCTGGCTGGCTGTCAGCTGGTTGATCATTAGGAGCTAGGTGGAGGGCAAGTATGGAGACAAAGCCCTTATCGGCTTGGGAGGACCAAGGCTTACAGCCTAGGAAACACTTCAGCAGGCCAGAGGACATCGCTGGCACAGGAAAATGCAGCCATGGCTAGGTGTGTTCCCATAAACCTGTGAGAAGTCAGGTGTATGGTTAAAATTCCTTTCATATCCTAGTTGGCTGACCTATCTTTTTACAGGCCCCCTCCACCCCCCTGAAGTTCCAGGCCCTCCCCATGCTTTTCTTCAAGGCCACAGTGACCACCGAACTCCCTCGGGGCCATCTCCTGGCAACTTAGCCTGGACCTCTTTATCTTTATGGACTGAGTCCGTTAATTCTTTCTTCCTTATGCAAAAGCTTCTACATCTGCACTACTGAATCATCTCCACCTCTCATTCTGTGAAGTTTGAAGGAGGACCAGAGGGGCTGGGCCCCTGCTGGATCTCGACCGTGGATCCAGTAGGATGTTAGTGAATGTGATTCCCACCCTCTAGAATAAAATGACTGGGCTAGCACCTGGAGTAAATCCCAGGACTGGCGGAAATTCTCAGCAGCCCAATTTCCAATGTCCTAAACCAAAGCCTGGGCGCCCCCTGGTGGCAGACTGCCCACAGACCACAGACCCAGTTCTCAAACTAGAAGCAGGGGAGGGAGGCCCTGCACAGAAGCCACAGGACAAACATGGAACGTTCTCCTAGAGCATCTTTACTTGAAGATTACCATTTTTTGTTTTGGGGCAGGGGGAGGGGTGAGGGAGGTAGGAACTACAAAACATTTTTAAATTCAAACAAATGCAGAGAATAGTGACCAGAATAGAAAATTTACATGACTTTTTGGAGACATAGTAGAGAGGCCTTGAGGACACTTCCTTTACGCTGTGTGCATCCGGTGGCTCCTGGGCCCAGGGGACGGGCACCCTGCATGCTCACTCTTGCCCACAGTAGGGGGTGGGGGGTGGGGGGCCTGACAGACAGGGGATAAAAGGGGAAACATGTTTGGCAATGTCCGGGGGATCCTAAACCAGCGAAACCACGCGCTCACTGTACAGCACTTTACCCTGTGTGGAGTCAGATCATCCCTCCTCCAGGGGTTTCTTCTTCCCACACGGGTGTGGCCTTGCCAGAGGCGGGGCACTGAGGGCGTGGGAGGATGAGATAAATGGCTCAATGGAAGAGAGAGAAGGGTGTGATAATGTGATGGAAGGACGGGCACAGACAATTCTTGGAGAAGGGGCAGTGGTAGCTGTGGGGTTGGCTTCTCATACTTCATGTGGAAACAAGAACTTTTCGGGGGCGGGGGGTGGGGGTGGGGAGAGGTCATTACCCTTCTCTTCCCTGGATATGTCTTCTGCAGGATGCAAGATGGAGTTCATTTCAGAGGGGCTCCCGGAAGCTGAGGCCTCCCGGGGTCAGGGTTGGCACGGAAAGGAATTGAACAGTCGCGTCTGTAGCTTCTACAATTTTATCAAACTCTTCCTACTCCTTGGGATTCTATTCTTCATGAAAAAGTTTAAAATGCAGACTAAAGTCACATGGCAATCTTGCCCGTACCTTTAGGGAAATAAAACTTTTTTCTCCTTCTCTGTTTAAGTTAAAAAGGGTCTGAAGCAAAGAAGGGTCACACTTCAGAAAAAGTTGGGGAGGGGGGTTTCAGTGGTGAATTCTGTGGTGTTGGAGAGGGGTGGAGAGAAAAAAGGCAGACACCAAACACCTCCATTTTCCCAAGATTAAATGATTATTAAAAAAGCGCGCCATCCTGTGTAGAAATCAGCATTCTCTCCCATAATTCTGTGCATCTGGGACTACAGAAAGGTCACTGTCCCTGCCCCACATCTTCAAATTAACATTCTCAGGTCACAACAGTAAGTCTTCCCAAAGGGGACCTTCCGGAAGAACAAGCTATTTCCTCGGCTCATATTTCCCTGGAAAAACAAAACACAAAATAAAGAACAGCATGAAGACGAGGTCAGCCAATGCGCAGCAGCAGAGTGAGACCCATCGGGGTGGTTTCTGGGAGCCACCCTGGAGGAGTGGTCTATGGCCTGCCTCCGGCCAGGCTGTGAGGGAGAAGGCCCCGGTTACTCAGCCAGCAGGCCCAGCGTGGACTGTGGGTCTGCCTCTTGCTGGCTGGGTTACCAAAGGAGCCAACAGATGAAACTCAAGTTTATGCTAGCTTCTATTTTTTAATGAACAGCCAGGTCTCCGAGGGATACTTTAAAATTCTTACAATTAAAATAAGAAGGTGTTCTTAGAAGAGTAGGCTCTGAAAGCTGAGGCCCAGTACACGTCCTGGTTCTCCCATATAGAGACTGTGGGACCATGGGTTATGTCCCTGGAGTATCTTTCCTGCTCTAAGCTATAGTGTCTTCCTGTGGCAGTGGGGAGAGGGTCCCCCACTGGGTTGTCTGAGGATGACATGAGTTGACACAGAGAGCTCTTAGCATGATGCCTGACAGATACTACATGGCCAGTCAAGACGTGCTGTTGCCCTGCACACTTAGAGGCCCACCCGGAGCCCGGGAAGGTGTGCTGACACCCATTAGAAAGCAGGGTCAGAAAGGTCACTTTCCGTGTAAATGGAGAGCAGGCCAGGTGATCGCTACCACAGAATCTGAGGTGCAGGATGAAACCCAGAAGGCCCAAGGTCAGGCCCTCATGGGAAGCGCTGGACTCACAGGGCAGCTTGCTGGGTTTGCGCGGAACCAGGCCTTTGTCAGAGGCACCGAGTGCCGTAAAGGGATGCAACCCAGAGCTTTTTCTCGTATTTTCTTCTGCCATCCTTCAAAACGCACTTCCCACTCAAGCTCACAGTCCACCTGTGACTTTGGTTTTAGTCCTGCTTTGCGGGGTCCCTCAGGACCTCCCTGGGAGCCCCCACAAATGCAAAGAAACCTACACGCCAATGGGTCTGCCTTGTTTCTCTGGGTCTTGCACAGTCCCCGAGTTTGGCAGGGCCAGTCCGACTTTTCTAGGGCTCTGTCAGTGGGAAAGATTTGCGTTCCCTTCTCCGATGGGTTTCTGGTGTCTCAGATTTGACCGTCATAATTGAAATTTCCCCTAACCGTACCGAGGAGCCCGGGGCAGAGTGGGTTCTGTTGGCCTGCCAGTTGCAAGGTCAGCAGTCCTTTCTAATACGACAGAGTTACAGTGCCGGAAACCCACAAAGACAGTTCTTCTTTCCTATAGGCTCACCACGAGTTGAACATTCTAGAAGTAAGAGACCAGCTCTCTCATTACCCACCATGATGGAGACTCTGCCATAGTTAACACTCATTTCTCAACTTCCTCACATCTATCACGCAGAAACATTTGAGTACACAAGGATATTCTCGGTTAAAAAAAAAAAGGGGGGGGAGAGCTTGAAGGAAAAAAAGTGTCTGAAATCGAGACCCTCATTTTAACAACAGGACAATGGGGGTCTGTGCCTGGAGCAGACTTGCAACTCACAGGGCTTCCAGAGAGCATTTAGGGGGTTGATTACTAAGCAAAGCATCACACTTCACTATGAGGAGATATATGTATCTATATGTACATCATTGCAAAAGGCTAAGGAATGGTAGATAAAGGCTGAGTCACAAGAACTAAGGCAGGATTCCAAGGATATTGTTTAAGGAAGCGCGCACACACAGACAAAACGAGAGAGAAATACCTCTTTCTGCAGCATGCACCAACAATCTATCCAAGAAGTAAATATTGGGGAGTAGGGAGGGCATCCACCAGCAAGCCTGAAGGAAGAAAAAAAAGATGAGCTACTCAGAGCCTCTCCAAGAGGTTGAAAAACCATTTTCAAAATGTTCTGTTACCCAGAGAGCTCTGGGAAAGGCAACTGTAATTCTTATGAAACAATTCTATTAGTGCAGGAAAAAGGACTGGGTATCAAAAAGAGGATTTGCCGACTACAGGCTTCAAATAAACAAGAACTTCAATCAACTATGTATTTTCTAAAGCATCTAGGTTTCTCACGTGTAGACAAATGACTCTTTAGAGCAGGGTCCTCAAACTACGGCCCGCCGAGGACATTTATCCGGCCTGCCGGGTGTTTTTGCCCCGTTTATTTTTTTACTTCAAAATAAGTTATGTGCAGTGTGCATAGGAATTTGTTCATAGGTTTTTTTTAAACAATAGTCCGGCCCTCCAACGGGTCTGGGGAACAGTGAACAGGCCCTCTGTTTAAAAAGTTTGAGGACCCCTGCTCTAGAGCAAAGTAATTATAAGACTAAAGAACGGGGCTAAGGGGGATTTAAAAATGAACTGCCAGCCACAACAATCCCACTATGACAACGGATCTAGACAAGAACTCTTTCTCAGGTTTAACCCATCATCATCATCATCATTCCTCTAAATCACTGTGAGGAAGAATAAATGTAAGTCAGCCTTCCAGTGGGCTCCAGGCTAGCAGACGACATCTGCTTTCCAAATGACAAGCAGAATGTAATGTGGCATGACAGTAAAATCCTGCTCCCAGCACTCCTTCCCCCACCCCCACCCCGCCAATAGTGATCTATTTGACATCTTGTTAAAAAACATGCCATGTTGAATGGCCTGTTGAGTCTAGGAGCATACTAAAACAGGTTTCCAATGATAGTAAGAGCTTCTATTCCACGAGGTAGACTCATCTGGAAGCTAGGAAGTGGAAACCAGAGGGGTCCACCACCACTCACCCTTCCCAGCTAAGGAGCTCCCCAAGGACCCTGCATCATCCTCCCCCCCCCCCCCCTCCTTAAAAAAGAAACCCTTCCTTTCCTCCAGGAAGCCCCCCAGAGGAAAAGCAGGTGCAGACTGCCATTCCACCTTGGACAGAGCTACGATAACGTTCATAAAATGGAGGTACAACACTGAAGAGGAAAAAAACCATTAAAATTAATTAGCTAGCGAGTTAGCCTTTTTAAGGATAGGACCTCTACTACTGGCAAGTGCATACTATTATTAAGTACTTGAGAACTATTTATTATGCCCTTCTCTACTCCAAACACAGACCTGAGGTAGCCGTTTGTACATAGAAATGGCTGCATGGGGCACACAGAGCAAAAGGAGAGGAAATTGGAGCGCAGTATCACCAGGGCTTTTCTTCCCCACCCCCACTTTCCTCTCAGGACTGCTCTGCCCAGCACACAGGCAGCCACCAGTCAGGATGGGAACAAGCAAGGCCCTGTACTCACCCACAGTTGTTGACAGCCATCAAGTTAGAGACAAGCACGAAAGGATAGGTCAACATACTGGCAAAAAACTATAAAGTGGTTAAAAAAAGAAAGAAGTCAGCCAGCTAGATAAATTCTTACTTTTATTTATTTATTCTCTTCCTTCTGTTCTCCTAAGGTCCTGTGGTCTGAGCCACTGTGATTATAACGACACCCCCAGGAACGGATAGATTAAACATTTTTGAGCTTAGGGATGCTTCTTCCTCTTTATATATCAGTACATCAAACATTCTAGCAAAAAGCCAGAAGACGACTTCTCTCATTCTACGACAAAGTCTTTAATTCAATTAAAACTAAACTACAGTATTACGAAAAAGGAAACACAACTACATATAATGAAGCATTTCAAAACAACCCCAAAGACAATCAGAAAACCCGAGCCTCCTTTGAAAGACAATTCTTTCATGGACCCGCTGAGAGTGCGGAGGATGACACTCTTGGGTGGGGCACGAGGATGTGCAGGCCAGGTGAGAAATGCCGATACCCCCGTGAAGCGCCAGCCCACGGGAGCTGTGTTACCGCGATTCAGTGGAGAGAGGCAGGGACTCGGTCATTCTTAGCCCTGACCAACATCCCCAAACTCTAGGGAGACCTTCCAGCAAGATCCCTGGTTGGTTCAGGCCAATGATGACCCAGCAGGAATAACAACAACCCAAACCACCCCCCACTCCTCCTAGAAGGTTTAGGGGATTATGCAAACTCACGCCTGTGACAGCCTGGGAATAACTCTTCATTTCACTCATGGTGGAAACCTAAAATAAGAACGCTGAGTCTGAAAATCAAGCTGATGCCAACAGCTCATTGTCCCCAACCACATCACTACGTGCCATACCTAAATAAGTTTCTGTTGACAGCATTAAGATGAGTTTTGATGTCTAAAACAATACCAGTTTCATGATGAGCATTAAAAGTCAGTGGTCAAAATCATCATCTTGATGTAACACCCACCACAGGCAAGTTCCTATCAGGTTCAGACGGGTTAGGACAAATGCAGGCACCACGGGATTTCAAAGCCAAAGAAACAGTAACCTTTTCCCCTGTCCTGGAAATGAGTCCATGAAAACCTGTATTTCCCGTCTATTTACAGTGTGCCAGACAATTGGCTACCTCGTCTACCCTAACAGGGTTCCAGATGCCTCTCCACTCAAGGACTCCTCAGACTGATTAGCGTCTTCTACTTCCTACCACACTCGGGCTGCCTGTGCACAGAAAGACTCCACAGCTGCAGAGGCAGGGGGACCAGTGCTTCTAGGAAAGGTTGATTCTCAAAACCTCCCCAGGCTGAAGTTTCTAGAAAGTCCAACATCAGAAAGCCCTTCTGGATGGGCCTGGGTAAACAGTAACACTGCTCCTCAGCTTCAGGGCGTCCCCCCACATTAGAAAGCAGGAAGGAAGTGATTTGATCCCCTTGAAGCACGATGCAGGGCCAGCTTGCTTGGGCATGCTCTGCACACCCGGGCAGCTCCTTTCTAGGGGTGGCTCTCTCTGGAAAGCAATGTGGATCAGTTCATTAGCCCTTGAAAACTCTATCACGGTCAGTCTGGCGGGAAGCCAAGCTCTCAGCTTGCTCTGAGGTGAACCTAACTGCAGACTGAACATCAATTCGGCACTGGCGCATCTTCCCCAAAGTCACCTACCCCACTGTCCAGTGCATAGGTATTGACGAGGTAGGCCAGTGAGTTACAGAGCCACAAAGAAATGATGTCACCCAGGAGGCGAGGAATAAGACCCCTGTGTGAAGAAACAAGGAAAAATAAGCACGGAGAATGTGATCAGTAAACAGATAAGTCACTTAGTATAAACACTTCTCAGATTTCAAAACTGTGCAGTGTCAAAGACACCAGGTGCCCAAAGCCAGCCCCTTTGCCTAGTTTGTTCCAGTTACCATGGCTGCAGCTCGGGCTCCTCCCTGAAGACTTTTGCTCCCATTTTTAAAATGCTGGCCAGCTTTCACCCTCTGAACCACGGCCAATGGCTCACCTCACTATTAATAGCTACAATTAAGACAGCCAGCAATTTACCAATATGAAGAGACTTAAATATGTTTTTTGCTAAATCATGTCATACTCCAATTTGGTAGAGCAGAAGATGAGAACAATTACCAAGTGAAACCAGTCTAAACTCAGAAAACACCTGAGACATCGATGGGGCACGTCTGCCAGCTTGGGTGACCCAGTTGGGGCAGCGTGCCACAGTGGGAAGAACATTATCCCATAGACTTTAGATCAGGGTCACGTGCCAGCACCGTGATTTGCCAGCTAGCTGACGGACCACAGATGAAATTTCCTGAGCATCATTAGTTTGTTGTTGTTTTTTTTAATCTGTAAGATGCGGGCAGTAATAGCTGTCCTATCTCAGCACATGATCCTCAGAAAAATCAAGAACGTGGAAAACTGGAAAATGTAAAACCCCTACTGAGGTACTAATGCAAAGTTTCTGCTGCTAAGAGGAGAGGCTACCAGTCTGAGTTCTTATGACATACGCCAAGAGGATCTCACACAACCAACTGCGTAAGAATTCTTTGCTCAGGGTAAGAAAAACGCGTTAGGTGACTTCTCCACTGTTTTGTTTAAATATCGCTTTTCTTCATTTCAATAACAACACACTGAGAAAGGAGTGAATTTGTTCAAAAGCAAACAAAAGTGCCCTCATTTTAAATGCTTCCAAGGTCCCGAGGAGCAAGTTGGAGAGCTTTAGCCCCAGAAACTTCAAACCAGGAGGCAGACACAGAATGGTACACCTCACCCCTCCCTGGTCCCCCCAGGGCTACACGAAAACCCACCATCCTTTAGTTTCACTGCAGCTTTCTACCCCCCCACCCCACCCAAATCAACCTGTACTCACGCAAAAAACCCTAGGATGCCCTCTTCTCGATAGATGGTCACTATGGAGTCGCCAAGTCCACTAAATACACAAGAAGGTAAATAGGCAACAATTACAAAATCATTCACTGTACAAACAATGTAGAACAAGTCATCACTTGAGACAAGCTCATTTATACCACACACCCCCTTTCTAGCACCCTCTCACTCTGTCGAGGGGGTTGAACCTGCACAGAATGAAGGTACTAGGACCTAAGGGTGCCATCACATGGGGTTGGGCTAGGTCTGGGGTTCAGCAGCCAGCAGCTGATTTTGAGACCCCGGACAAGGCTCTTAACACCGGCTTGAACCCATTTCCTCCTGTCTACTGTTGTTTCCAGGGAAGCTCAAAATGAGTTAAGACCCTATGGTGTATGGTGTGTTCTGGGAAACTGCACACGCAGGGCGACGCTCTACTCGAACAGCAGGAACACCTACCAGTATTTGGATTCTCTGCCGATGAACTGTACCATTGACCTCAGAGTGATCACTACAGAACAGAGCACAAGATTTTTAAAAACTGTGGCAAACCCAGTGGGACAGACGGCTTTTGTACTCAGAGACATTTTGTTACCTGGATGAACTGGATAAAAGTGAAGACAGACAAGCAAAGCAAATACCATGCAGGAAGAGGCAGGCCCCAGGCGGCAAACGTACCGTGGAAGGGATGTGTGATGAGGGTAGCAGCAGACCGAGCCATCATCTCGCGAGTCGTCTAGAAACAACCAACACACACTTGGTGTCTGCATGGATGACCCTGAGGTGCTCCTGAGGGGGCGCGGACAGGGGACTGACTGATGTAACTGGAAGGGAACTGCCCAGCATGCCTGCCTTAAAATCAGGGAGGAGAGGCCCAAAGGAGATACAGTATAATCATCTCCTTCTGCTCCACCTTCCACGCTTAGATTTCAGTGTTCTCTTATCACTAGCTGCAAAGCAGGTTCTGTGGTTTTCCCAGTTTTACAGACAAAAGAAAAACAAAACCAGAAGTGAGGCAGAGCAGGTCAGAGCAAAGGTCCAAGAGCAGGAAGAAAGCAATGAGGCCTGCCCTGAGGCTACTGGGTGGCTCGGGGTAACTATCAGCCTCTTCATTCTGTACCAATTTCCTGGGGAGGAGGACTTTGTTTGCAACCAGAGCCCTACAAGGGTGCAGCACCGCAGTTGCCCGTGGTAGCTCTCCCAGCTGCTCGTCCAATGCAGCACTCTACAGAGCAGAAACAGAGGACTTCGAATCACAGCACTTGGGCGCTGGATCTGATTGAATGGGTTCTGACCCTTAGTGACCTCATGCACTTCAGAAGGAAACACTGCCTCAATCTTGTGCCATCTTCACAATTGTTCGTATGCTTGAGCCCACTGTTGCAGTTAGTTATCAATCTATCACCTTGAGGGCCTTCCTTCCTCTTCTGGAGACTCCTCTAACTGTCCGGGAAAACATGCCCAAAGTACAAGGATCAAGTCTCGCCACCCTTGCCTCAAGGGAGCATTCTGGACATACTTCTTCCAAGACAGACTTGTTTGTCCTTTTAGCAGTCCATGGTACTTTCAATATTCTTCGACAGCACAATTCAAATGCATTGATTCTTCTTTAGTCTCCCTTATTTGATGTCCAACTTTCATATGCATCTGAGGCAATTGAAAATACTATGGCAGGTCTAGCTTTCATTTACTTTTTGCATTTAAACATTAGAGTTTGTCAGTTCAGAGACACCTCCTCCCGCACCACCACTCCAGGAGTAGTTTTGAGAAGATCTTGTAGGGCTTACTAGAGTTAATCCACTGCCATCAAATCATTTAGACTCATAGCCACCCTATATGGGATTTCTGAGGCTATAAATCTTTATGGGTGGAGACAGGCTTTCTCCCTTGGAGTGACCAGTGGGCTTGACCTGCTGGCCCTGCAGTTAGCAGTTCTGCACTAACCCAACAGCACCACCAGGGCTCCATTGGGGGTGCTGAGACTTACTTAAAACTGTATGCATACAGTAAGAGGCTGCAACTGGGACCACACTAGGGACAATCAGACATCAAGATGTTGGGCATGAAGAAATGCCAATGGCAGAAGAGGGGGTGGATGGGAAATAAGTCAGGACAAAAGCATCCTTGTACACGTGATACCATCATGCAGTATGATGGGCCTGGCCATTGTCTTATAATTATTTATTTATCATGTCATTTTTGTACCACAGGATCTCAATTCTCTCCATGGTAAAGAAGAAATCCGAGGGTAAAATTGAGTCTTTTCTGCCCCATGGTAGTAAAAACCTACAGGAAGGAGAAGGGCTCACTCCTTTCACTTGATTTGGATCCCACCCCAAGTACACAGGTCCATAGCCCAGATTCATCTCTTACCTCCTTAATAACTCGATCAAAGGAAGACGAGGCATCTTTCTGGACATTTCCAGAACTTATTTCCTGAAAACCAAAGAGATTGTGAAGGTTTGAATGAGAACTCTTAAACTGATAACAGTCACTGAGAAGACCACGCAGCACAGTATGCGGGGGAAGGGAGCTCCCCTCCCCCCAAGTCAGCACCAACGTACGTACCTCAGGCTTCTCACAGTCCTGGTAATGCTAATATGAAAACAAGGGAGAGGGGGAGACAATTAAGGTTATTAAAGAGCCAGGTGAAAGAGAACACAAAACTAACACTCATTTGGCAGAAAGCAAAATCCAAATCCACTGCCAGAAAATCGGTTGTCTTGAAATAACCATCAGCAGCAGTTTCCCCAATGGGTGATGCTGTTCCTAGGGCGATGGAACAATCTGGGGGGCCTCCAAAAACAGATAGATACCTACACGCTATGCTCAATTGTGGGCCATAGCACAAAAACTTTAACTTGTGGATGTGGAGGGGTTAGGATGGGGGGAGTAAGTGAGTAATTGGTCTTTTCCCTAAAAAGGAGGTGGTATGCCAAATAAGTTTGGGAGCCTATGTTTTTCCCTTGAAACAGCTGGTAGGTTTGAACCACGGAACTTGTAGTTAGCAGCCCAATGCCGATGAACTTACAGCACCACCAGGGAAAGTGAAGATTTTTGGTGGGACCAAAACTTTCCAATGAACTTCTATGTGTGTGTGTGGGGGGGTCAGATGCGCAGGCATTCCCTCCCCTGAGGGAA